TTTTTTTTTTTTTTTTCGAGCTGGGGTCACCCAGGCTGGACTGCAGAAGCATGATCACAGCCACTGCATCCTCAACCTGCTGGGTTCAGGTGATTCTTCCGCCTCAGCTTTCCAAGTAGCTGGAAGAAGTACAGGCTTGCGCCACCATACCCAGCTAGTTTTTTGATTTATTGTAGAGACAAGGTCTCACCAAATTGCCAAGGCTGGTCTCAAACCCCTGGGCTCAAGCAATTCTCTCGTCTCTCTCTCCCAAAGTGCTGGGATTACAGGCGTGAACCACTGTGTACAGCTAGATCTTAATCCAGGACTGTTTATTGCTGTACTTAAACAAAGTCTCCCACAGTGTGGGGTCATGTCCTGGATGAGTGAAGACACATGTTTACTGACCGAAGGAAGACTTCCTCCATGGTGGTAACGGAGGCCCCGAAGCTGGCGATGCCCAGCTCCTTCTGCTTCTTCTCCAGTGTAGCAAAAAGACCTTCGAACCTGAGAAAAAGACCCGAGTGATGAGTTGCTTCTCAATGACTTCCTAGATAATTTGTTCCTGAAGAATAACCTCTGTGTGAAGAAGGAGGGCCCACAGGGAATCAATTTCTTGAAAATGCCATTTATTTCTTATTTTTTTGAGTCAGGGTCTTACTCTGCCACGCAGACTGGAGTGCAGTGGCACGATCACAGCTCACTGCAGTCTTGATCAGGTTCAGGTGATCCTGCTGCCACAGCCTCCCGAGTAGCTGAGACTACAGGTCTGCGCCATCACGCCCAGGTCATTTTTTTTTTTTTGGTAGAGACGAGGTCTATATTGTTCAGGCTGGTCTTGAACTTCTAGGTTCAACCAGTCCTCCCGCCTCAGCCTTGCAAAGTGCTGGGATTACATGTGTGAGTCACTGCATCCAGCCAAAAGTGATATTTAGAAAAATAAAAATAAAAAGTTACGCTCCATGGTTTGATTCCCTGATTTTTAAAATTTTTTCTTCTTTTTAAAAAATACTTAAGGTTTTGTCAAAAGACATGAATAAAAAGTGGGCAAAAGACATGAATAGATACTTCTCAAAAGAAAATATATGGAGGCTGGGCATGGTGGCTCAAGTCTGTAATCCCAGCACTTTGGGAGGCCAAGGCAAGAGGATTGCCTGAGCTCAGGGATTCGAGACCAGCCTG